CAACCATCTTCCTATGTGCCAGATATGACAGCAACCTGTGGAGACCTGCCCCCCCCGATTATTCCCATTGATTCCAGTTTTGCTGGGGCTTCTTGCTACCACAATCAGTCTAACACTGTCATTATGTCAAAGTCTACCACCTTTATTTCCTCTCTGGAATTCAGCTCTTCTGAACGTGTTTGAACCAAGGCTGCAGTGAGGGCAGGAGCTGAGTGACCCTGGCAGATCCCAAACTGGGCATTGGTCAACAGGTTAAATGGGAACAGTGTAGGGGGAGCTTTACTCTGCATTAAATTCCATACTGTGCCTGTCCTGGGAGTGTTTGAGGGAGACAATGTAAAGGGAATTTTATTCTGTATCTAACCCTATGCTCTCTCTGCACTGGGAGTGCTTGATGAGGACGGTGTAGAAGGAACTTTACTTTATATGTAATCCTCTGCTGTCCCTGCCCTGGGAGTGTTTGAAAGGGGATAGTGTAGAGGGAACTTTACTCTGTATGTAACCCTGTGCTGTCCCTGCCTTGGGAGTGTTTGAAAGGGGATAGTGTAGAGGGAACTTTACTCTGTACCTAACACTGTACTGTCCCTGCCTTGGGAATGTTTGAAAGGGGATAGTGTAGAGGGAACTTTACTCTGTATCTAACACTGTACTGTCCCTGCCCTGGGAGTGTTTGAAAGGGGATAGTGTAGAGGGAACTTTACCCTGTATGTAACCATGTGCTGTCCCTGCCTTGGGAATGTTTGAAAGCGGATAGTGTAGAGGGAACTTTACTCTGAATCTAACCCTGTGCTGTCCCTCCCTTGGGAGTGTTTGCTTCAGACAATATCTGAAGGAGTGGAAATGTGAGTCATGTTGCAGTACAAACTTATTCATGGTTTCAAGGGGTTCCAAAAGTACTCATTAATATTCAAAACATACAGTTCGTTGGTGATTCTAGGTTTCAGCTCCACACTCAATGAAATGTAAGGCCACAAATTAAAAAAAAACCCTGAGTCTGCATTCCAACTGAATGTTATGTCTCCATTGAGCAGTGAAAGTATGGTGCAGCCTCTTGTGGAGTACTGTGTACAGTTCTGGTCATCCTGCTGTGGGAGGGATATTTTTAAACTGGAAAGGGTTCGGAAAATATTTACCAGGATGCTGCCGGGAATGAGGGGTTTGATAGGTGGGGACTTTTTTCACTGGAGTGTAGGAGATTGAGGGGTGACCTTATGGAGGTTTATAAGATCATGAGAGGCATAGATAAGGTTAATAGCAAGGGTCTTTTCCCTGGGTTGGGGGAGCCCAAAAGTCGGGGGCATATTTTTAAGGTGAGAGGAGAAAGATTTATAAAGGACCTGAGGAGTAACTTCTTTACGTAGAGAGTGGATTATGTGTGGAATGAACTGCCAGAGGAAGTGGTGGATGCAGGTATAGTTACAGCATTTAAAAGACATTTGGGCGGCGCAGTGGTTAGCTCTGCTGCCTACAGCACTAGGGACCTGGGTTCGATTCCACCCTTGGACGACTGTCTGTGTGGAGTTTGCACATTCTCCCTGTGTCTGCGTCGGGTGCTCCGGTTTCCTCCCACAATCCAAAGATGTGCAGGTTAGGGTGAATTGGCTGTGCTAAATTGCCCATAATGTTGAGGGATTGTGTAGATTAGGTGGGTTATCGGGGGCTGGGTCTGGGTGGGATGCTCTGAGGGTCGGTGCGGGCTTGTTGGGCCGAAGGGCCTGTTTCCACACTGTAGGGATTCTATGATCTATGACATTTGGATAAGTACATGGATTGGACTGGTTTGGAGGGATATGGCCCAAACACAGGGAAGTGAGACCAGATTAGTTTGGAATCATCATTGTTGGTGTGGACGAGTTGGGCTGAAGGGTCTGCTTCCCTGCTGTATGGCTCTATGGCTGTACGTCATTAAGGAAGTAGAGGCACTGGGAAGGGTGCAAAAACTTTGAGAAAGATGAGACAGAAATGTGTGTCAGGAAGAAAGACATGACTTCTTTTCTTTAGAAAAGAGAAAGCCAATGGGTGACCTAATAGAAGCCATTAAAATTAGGAAGGGGTTTGACTGGGTAGAAATAGACAAGATGTTGACATTTATGGGAGACCAGAACCGCATGCCAAAAATATAAAATAGTCACAAGTCATTTGAAAGAGGAAGTTAGAGAAACAGCTTTACCCAGAGAATTTCGAGAATACAGAATTTGTAACCACAATGAGTGGTTAGGGAAAAGAAGAATGTGATTTGAAGGTTTGTGGTAGGTGTAAACAATTATTTGGGCCGGTTGGGCTGTTAATCCCTTGTAATTCTATCCAATCTTCCCAGTGAAAGCTGGAGACATAATTGGTTAATGCCAGGATTGCAGGTCATCAGCACAAGTGAAACAGATGATCAAGAGCTTCTCTGGTTCCAGGAAATATTATCTGTGGAATGTGGCTGGTCACGGATGAATAATACAATGTCACATTGACATCCTTAAGTTTTTTCAATGTTCATCCTGAAGGTCAGGAAAGGCCTTATCTTGTTGGACATCTTCCCTCTGCTCATTCACCTTTCTCCGAAGATGATTTTCGTTCAGTCAAGTCTATGATGAATGACAGGGTTTCAGCACGGAGTTGGCTTCAGGTTCAAATGACCTTCTCAATGAGGGCAGAGCCCAGCATGCGAGGGCAAAGGTCAAGGTTCAATCATTTGCAACCAGGTGTGTTGCCTGGCCTCCTTCTGAGTCTGCAGAGCACAGACATCAGTGACCAGTGGATTTGATTCCCAACAAACTGGAAAATGTCCCTGATATATCCTGTCCACAAAAATTGGGACAACTCCAATCCGAGTCAAGAAGCATATTCCCAGTCATCCGCAGAGTGAGGGTTGTCTGTGTTATCAAGTGACCCCTACTCACCACTAATCCAGTCATCAACAGAGTTTAGGTTCTGTAAGATCAGTCGGCTAGAAACTACACAAAATCTTGGTGCACACATGAACTAGAACTCAGTTTTGGAGATGAGGTGAGTACATCATTAAGGAGTTTGAGAGAAGATTGGAGTCATGACATTGGTTTAGGCCACTTTTAGAATACATCATTCAATTTTGGTCTCCATGCTACAGGAAACATGTTAAACCTGAAAGGTGCAGAAAAGATTTGCAAGGATGTTGCTGGGTTGGAGAGTTTAAGCTACAGGGAGAATAGGCTGAGGCTATTTTCCCTGGATCGTCGGAGGCTGAGGGGTGACCTTGTAGAGGTTTATAAACTCATGAGGAGCATGGATAGGGTGAAAGCCAAGGTCCTTTTCACAGGGGTGAGGAGTCTAAAACTAGAAGGCATAAGTTTAAGGTGGGAGGGGAAAGATTTAAAAGGGACCTGAGGGGTGACATTTTCACGTAGAGGGTGGTGTGTGTATGGAATGAGCTGCCAGAGGAAGTGGTGGAGGCTGGTTCAATTACAACATTTAAAAGGCATCGGGATGAGTACATGAATAGGAAGGGTTTAGAGGGATATGGGCCAAATGTTGGCAAATGGGACTATATTAATTTAGGATATCTGATCAGCATGGACAAGTTGGACCGATGGGTCTGTTTTCGTGCTCTACAACTCTATGACTCTATAATTGACAAGGGGTACTGACACAACACAGGCAGTGACTATCTACAACAGTGGAGAGTCTAAGCACCTCTTCTTCCCATTCAACCGTTTTGCCATCATCAAATCACCAACCGTCAAAATTATGGAAGTTACCATTGTTGACAACCTTAAATAGACCACTTATTTAATAATGTGGCTAGTCTGTCAGTCAGAGACAAGGAATTGTATGGCAAATAACTCACATACTGTCCCTACAAAGCTGTCCACAAGGCATAAGCCAGCAGTGATAGAATACGCTCAGCTTGCCGCCATAGGTGCAGCTGCAATTACACTCAATACATACAACATTTGAGACATAGTAGCTGCTTGAGTGGCATGCATCCACTGCCCCCGACGTTCTCTCTCTCCGCTACCACTGCACAGCGACGGCAGACATACAACATGAGCAGTGTAACCAATCACTACAGTTTCTTCCAGAGCACCTTCCAAAGTAGCATCTCCAATACCCAGAAGGATGAAGGCAGCAGGTACATGGGAACACCATCCCCTGCAAGTTCCTCTCCAAGTCACTCACCTTCCTGACTTGGAAATCTATCGCCCTTCCTTCACCATCACTGGGTCAAAATCCTGGACTTCCCTCCCTAATGCCATTGAGGGTATATCTACAGCACTTATACATCACTGATTCAGGCATGAGACTCCTCACCACCTTCTCAGCGACACTTAGGAATGGACAATAAATGCTTACTTTTCCAGAGCTGTCATGAATAATTTTGGAAAGAAAATACCCAATGTACTTCTGGCTGTCCCCCTTCCCCAATTTCTGTAACTTCTGGCTGCCCTCAAAACCTCAGGGACCTATGTAGGCCAACAATTCTGAGGCCCACCTTGGCATCAACGTTATATAGACCCTTGGTTCAAGAATTCCCGCCCGAAATCTCTCTGTCTCTCTTCTCCTATCTGCTTCTGTTTAAAACTTACATTTTGACCAAGCTTTTCTCGATCCTGAGGTGGCTGAAATACAAAGTTTGGTCTGGCATTTCTCCTCTAAAGGACTTTGGGATTTTTTTAAAAACATAAAGGGCACACATTGAGTAGGACGGTACAGTAGTTCTGTAGTTAGCACTGCTGTCTCACAGTGCCAGAGACCTGGGTTCGATTCCGCCCTTCGGTGATCACCTGTATGGAGCTTGTGTGTTCTCCCTGTTTCCGCTGGGTGGTCCGGTTTCCTCCCACAGTCCAAAGATGTGCAGCGTAGGTGGATTAGCTGTGGAGAATGCAGGGATAGGGTAGGGGGTGGGTCTGGGTGGGATGCTGTTCGGAGGGTTGGTATGGGCTGAATGGCCTGCTACAACATTGTAGAGATTTTAGACATAAGTACAAGTTGTTGTCATTTGTGTTGTAACTGTTGTTCTTTGTTTTGTACAGCCCTGTTGTATGGGTCTGCCTGCATTATTTTTGCTGCATTGTCTTCCCTGCTTGGAGGAGGGGTCTTGCAGGTACGTTGACATCCAGGTGGGTCGGGGGGTTCACTGCTGTTATCTGTGATAGGACGGCTTTGGATTTGGACAGGGGGAACGGAGCGTGCAGTGTCGAAAACTGATTGTTTGCGTGCTCAGTGTAACCTCAGTTTTTGCAGCCTCTCCTACACAGGGATAGCAAGATCTGCAGATGCTGGAGTCGGAGTCAACACAGTGTGGAGCTGGAGGAACACAGCAGGCCAGGCAGCATCAGAGAAGCAGGAGAGTCAATGTTTCGGGCCTAGACCCTTCACCAGTCCTGATGAAGGGCCTAGGCCCACAACGTCACCCTGCCTGCTCCTCTGATGCTACCTGACCTGCTGTGTTCTTCCAGCTCTGGACTGTGTTGACTCTCCTATTCAGGGAACTGGTGAATTAAGGGACAGTGCGTTTTGAATTCATTCTTCAGATATTTACAAGGTCACAGGCTTTTACAGCCTAGCCCTTAGTTTTTGACTGAGTAAAGTCACAAAGCTAGGAGGGGGGGAGGGGGTATCAGTTTGGTCATATGTTGAACACTTTGTCTGCTTTTCTTTGCTCCAGTGGAAACCAAAATCAGGCGAAATCTCTCGCATGAAACCGATTACGGCAAATTTAATACCAGCGCTCAAACTCAAAACAATCTGTTGGAGGAAATTATTGCAGATGCTTCAATCTTTACTGAAAACAATGTGGGTTGGGCAGCATCCATGGAGAGAGAAAACAAGCTAATGTTTCTAGACTCTTCATCAGAGCTGACAGGAAGTGTGGAGGGGGGCAGCGGGGGTAGGGGGTGCTGGAGTGCTGGGGGAGGAAGGGTGTTGATAGTTCAGATTAAGTGATCAGAATGTGAGAATGGCAGCATGACGGTGTGTTTAACTGCCAGACAGGAAAGAACAGACAGTCGCACTGGAGTGGGGAGAGGGGAGAGAAATTCAAAATGAACTATCTGGTCTCCGGGTGTAGTCTAATGTAAACTATTCAAACATTACTCTAGGGGTCCTTCACGGTGATGAGTGTCATCAGTAATCCTTTGTTGGGAGCATTCATCCTTGGTATGTTCGTACCTCCTGCTAACACTGTGGTGAGTACAGGCTGAGGGTATTTGAGGGGATGTGTTTCCAACATGCTCATACATCCAGTCGAATCACTGTGGTCCTTGAGCCACTTCAGGTCAGGGAGCTTGAAGCAGATCTAAGTGGGCACCTGCCCAATTTTGTTCTTGCCCACTGACTTTGCACAATGCCAGGAACCTGAGCTCACTCACAACTCTGAGATAGCAAGAACTGCCAATGCTGGAGTCTGAGATAACACGGTGTGGAGCTGGAGGAACACAGCAGGCCGGGCAGCGTCAGAGGAGCAGAAAAGTTGACGTTTCGGGTCAGGGCCCTTCTTCAGAAATGGGGAGGGGGAAGGGAGTGGGAAATAAATAGAGAGAGGAGGGGTGTGGCTGGGGACGGTAGGTGAGATGGTGATGGGTGAGTGCAGGTAGGGAGTGGTGGGGATTGGTCAGTGGGATAGGTGGGGAAGATGGGTGGGAGAGAAGCTTGACAGGTTGTGTCAGGTGAAGGAGGCAGGGATGAGAGGGCGGGTTGGTCATGGGATGAGGCCGGGGGTGGTGAGATTTTAAAACTGGTGAATTCCATGTTTAGGCCATCAGGCTGTAGGCTCCTGAGGCGGAATATGAGGTGCTGCTCCTCCAGTTTACGGGCGGCGTCATTGTGACACTGGAGGACATGTCGCCCAGGGAGTGGGAGGGGGAGTTTAAATGTTTCGCGACTGGAAGGTGTTATTGTTTGTTGCGTACAGAGCGTAGATGTTCGACAAAGCTCCGCTTGGTCTCACCGATATAGAGGAGGCCAGGCAACTATGTTGCCTTTAACCTACTCCATGCCATATTGTTTTCACCCATCACCCATCTGCACACTGACCTAAATTTCAACCCGCAATCTTCAAATTCGCATCGTTATTGCCAAATCTCACCATGGCCTCACCCCTCCCATGCTTGTAACCTCCTGCAGCCTTACAAAAACACTCTGCACTTCAGTGATTCCGGCCTTTTGAATATCCACAGTTTTCATTAGTGCGCCATTTATCTTTCAAATATCCCAATCCCAAACTTTGGAATTCCTTGTCTACACATCTCAGTCTCCCTACTTCCCTTGTAAAGTGCTCCTTAAAACCCACCTTTAGCGGAAACTTTTGCTCACTTGTCCTAGTATCTCCGTTTGTTGCTCGGTGTCAAAGTCTGTTCGATAAGGTGAAGAACCTTTGGGTGTTTCATGATATTGGAAGAAAAATTTCTCCTCTATCTCCCTTAATTATCTTAAATACATCAGTTAGATCACCCTCATGTCAGGTCGGCATCTACATTGAGTTCCAATCCATACCACTGCTCACCATATCATATTGTGCAGCTAGATTGTTGAGATACAATACTGTTTCCAATCTTCCTTTCTATTCTTTTGAAAACAAATGTTCAATCTCCATTTAAACAGTGCCTGGTAGGGCCGATACTCCTTTCTGTGCTGACTCTCAGCTCCTGTTTAATTATCAGTGGTCGAGAATGAGACAGCGAGTCTTAGCAAGAAAAGGCACTTGTCTTAAGTTACAAGGTGCAGTTTGTTTTTGGTAAGATGACAATCGGTACGAGCTGCATTGACTAGTTAGACATTATTCATCAAGACTATCAGGTACCAGAAGTGATGCATCTGCCTCCATCAGAATCTCAGGCACGACATTACCGTTCTGTAACCAAAAACCATGTGATATTATCAGATTAGGCGGAGCTTAACACAACTTCAACATTAACTCTTTCAGAACCAGAGCCCTCATGCAACAGTCATATTCAGCTTGTGTGGCAGAATTCTTTTGAAAGTAGGTTGTAGTTACAAGTTTAGTGAGCAAATTGTCTGATGTGGAAAGGTTAGACAGGTTGGGGCGGTATCCTCTAGAGTTTAGAAGTGACTGAATTGAAACAGAGAAGATTCTGAGGGGAGATAGTAGGAACTGCAGATGCTGGAGAATCTGAGATAACAAGGTGTAGAGCTGGATGAACACA